TTACGCACAATTCACTGTTGACTTATTCTGGAGAATTGAAAACTTGAAAAACAGTCAAATATAGACTCATATTAACAACTGATTGCTGTTATACAAGAATTATCTTTGACATTGTATGATTGGTTATCGTGGTAAAAGACTCATGACTTTACAATGTACCAATCTCTTTTAATCGGTATGTTGGTATTGATTTATTATGTGAATACACTATCCTTGTTTGTTTTCTTTTATGAAAGAATCAAACCCCTCTCCATGTGGCCAAAAACTCAGATGTTGCTGAAATGTTAATTCTGAATGGAGCCGATGTTAACAGTACAGATAATAAAGTGAGTATGTACATGTTTTACGTAGAAAGTGATGATCGATCCAAATGATAGCTTCCCAAGACAAGAGACACTTTTAAAACCTCTTCGATTGATATTATGGTCCTTACCTGAAAAAATAAGTAAACTGAAACGTCTTTTAATAAAGACTAAATTGACGATTATAAATGTCATTTTTGGAAAATAACATACGTTAGTAAAGGATATGATGTTATCCATATATCCAGTATACTGAATGAGTGTTATGTTCAATAATGTTTCTTTCAATACTTTGGTGATTCCCAATTACATCTATTATTCCATTTTGTACAAATATTTTAATCTTCAAAACTTGACAATCTCGTAAACTTTCCCCCATATGTGTCTTGTAATAATCCGTGAGTTTCCGTTAATGCTGATTTAATAAATACAATCTTTACACCATCTTCATCTGAAGAGGTACTATCATTTTCCCTGTCATTAAGAAAAAAGAACACATTTTTCTTTTTCTTTTTTTTTTAATGTCGTTCTATTCTTTTTCGTTACGTTTTCTCCATAATTTTTAATTTTTTTCTCCCTTTTTCCCTTTTTAAATTTGTATACGTTTCTTATAGCATGTCAAATTCTTTTCATTTGTAGAATTTTTTGGGTTAAATTTTCCTTAAATTCAAATATCATCATGGTATGTGTTATCGCTCGTTTTGGTCATGTCATGTGATCAGAGCTAACAATTTCTACTATTTCCACAGCAGATTCAATCAATATTTATCCATTAACCCAATTACTTTACGATAATGTTTCACGTTCGAGTTAGATTATACATTTGAAACTCGTAATTTAAACTCTGTGCCTATTTGTAATACATTTGTCCTTATTGACATTCCAGGTTTGACGCTTTTCAAACAATGCTCATGAAAACATAATATGTATTTTTGCGCCTGTCCCAAGTCAGGAGCCTTTAGCCTTTGTTAGTCTTGTATTATTTTTAATTTTAGTTTCTTGTGTACAATTTGGAGTTTAGTATGGCGTTCGTTATCACTGAACTAGTATATATATTTGTTTGGGGGCCAGCTGAGGGACGCCTCCGGGTGCGGGAGTTTCTCGCTGCATTGAAGACCTGTTGGTGACCCTCTGCTGTTGTCTGTTCTGTGGTCGGGTTGTTGTCTCTTTGACATATTCCCCATTTCCATTCTCAATTTTATTGCTTGTTTCACTGAATACAATGACAAAGTAAGAACTATTAAAAATCATATAAAAGTATATGCAAGCCATTCTTATTAATTTTATTTAATACGGGACGACCCTTCTGTAACGATTCAATAAGGCGTCAAAGAAAAAAGCAAAAACAACAATTAAACAACATGAATATGAAATATGGAGACATGATACGATTACCAGTTATACAACAACATGTTTCCACTAGAGACCAAGTGACGGAGATTTTAGCAATACTAGGTCATCTACTATGAGCTATCAGCAACACCCATACCGCATATCAAGCTGTTAACGACCCCGACATGCTAAAATGTCAACAAATTAAACCGAGGTCTGATGTTTGTAACATGCATTATATGCTCTTGATAGAGATATGAACCGGGAGCCGTCATTGAACTTTTGAAAATAATTCATATATAACCTTAATGTCAGCTTATGTTTTTTGAATCATTATCAAAAACATATGGAAGATTTTTAGCTACAACTTGGTATTGTTTCTTGTGGATATTTTTCCTATTCATAGCATTCGATATTGTGTACTCGATTTTGCGTTCAACCATGAACAGTTTATAGTTCAGATTTATTTACCTTGAAATTGCACAGGCAAATAGAAGGTAAACATAAAGCACATTCATATTTCATCGAATATTAGCCTGTTATATTGACATAAAAGCATAGAATGGATAGGTTAGCATTTTTTTTGTTAGGCTTTTAGAAAACATGATGGAATAAGAGCTATTTTAACGTACAAAATTGACCTCATTAAAATTGTATTAATGATTAACATAAATACAAAGCCGGTTGCGCAATCGTTTTCAGCTACACATAAACATATATATGAGCAAGTCTCTAGGTATATATATAAACTTATGTCATATCGGTGATCAACAAACTTTATAATTAAGTAATCAATATCAATTCTTCGCATTCGTTAGTAGAATTTATTATTGTCAATTATTGAGTAGTTCAAGTTCATTATCTATACCATTCTTATATTTTTCTGTATTTTCTCAAAAACGTCATACACACTTATGAGAAACTTTACCAAAATTAAAAGTACGAAACAAAGGTCAAATAAAATATACGCTAATAAATTATTCAAAGAACACGAGTGTCAGTTCAGTTTACTATAATCGTATGACAATTGTTCTGGTCATTTTAAATTCAATGATTCAAGACATTGGTGTGAATTTTTTTCATGGCAACAGAAAAGTGATTATTTATTTTTCAAAATTATTTTCAGTTTAATTTTTTAGAATTCTAGGAAAAAAATCTTCAGTTGTTAAAAAACAAAAATCGGATGAGAAGAGTGCCCTTTTTCTCACTCAATATGAAATCTCAGCTCTCTCATCCTCTCAAGAAAAAGAATTTCTGCTGTAATAATCGACATAGATTATTTAAATAATAATAACAATAACTAATTTCAAAATCATGCAAGAACTAATAAAGAAATCAACACAATTTTGACACGTCAATGAATATAAACAACATCTTGTAACACGTGTTTTAGAAAGTACTTCATATATATTATTTTAATGATTCCAAATTTTGTTTATACTTAAAAAAAAAATTCTTGTTTTCTATAAATAAACAAAACAAAAACAGAACCTATAACAAATAGAGACGCAAATCTATATTAAGAATCTAAAGAACGTGTCAACACAGTTCGTTTAAGGTCTGTTTGATTCATGCACTTCTGAACAACTAAATAATCTCAAAAAAAGATCATAAACAAAGTGTTTTAAAAACGTTGAAATCGTTTTCAAATAAAAAGTTATGCTAGCTTTTTGCTGATATGCATTTCAATTGTTAAAATGTCACCATGATGCATAAAATAATCTCATGCATTTAATGATACCTCCAAAAAAGCACTAACCGTTGAGCTACGGACCATCCATACATGATACGTAGCAAATCGGGAAACCTCTACCAGGGGACAGGCACAAACATAATGTCGTTGGATTAGACATGGTTGCGGGATCCATTCTCATTATCTATTGAGCAGACGGTGTAGTAGCTAATCACACTGATACATATTAAATATTTGTTGCAAAGAGCTTGACATGTGAGATTGACACAATGGACACACACAATTATCAAACACTAAAGACACAAATAGCTACGTGAAAGTACTCGCAATTACGTAACGGTAGTTCAAATCCAATAACAACTAATGAAAAAATCATGCATCCAAGACAACAGGGTTTTTGCAAATTTACAACAGTTAACTACAGCGGATTCTTTTTTTTTTCTTCAATACCAATTTGCATGGATTGATGGAAACTTGTTTTTTCCTGGATAATTGGTTTCGTGGTTTTGCCGAAGTCTGCATGCAAGCCTATACAAAATGTATTTTTCGTTGAACATTTAAATACACGAAATCTAATTAATCCACTATGACAGGCAGATATTCTCAAAAAGTCCAAACATTCATCTTCTATTTTGTCCATTTATTTCATGTTTTACTTCCAACTGAACGAAATAAAGTTAATAATCCAAGTGTGCCTAAATAATAGCGATAATTCCTAAAACTGCAGTTAACAATATATCCACCAGTCAAAATTTATCACACATATGATGTAAACAGTTAACAAAATTGTTTGCATATAATGATTTCACTGATGATAATATCATATACATAACATGAGATCACAGAATAATATCAAAAATTAAAAGATATTGGTTTCTCTCTATACAGATAATGGAAAACATTAGGGTTCGAATAAATTCGAGTATGAGATAAATCTGGAAATCTTCAATTTATTGTAATAAAATTACTTCGAGATAGATCCGCAGTTATTCAAAGATCCAGATGTAAAGAAGAACAGTCAAGCTTGAGAACATAACGTTAAAAAGGACTTGCATATTCAATCGTTGTTGCGTGAAAAATAAAAATATAATCTTATTAACAAAATTAGTAAAAGACAATGCCACGCAATTCCTCGGGCATGTTTTGTACGTAATATTAATTTTAAATCTTTTAACTCGAACTTTAAGAATAGACAAAAGTAAGTCACTGAACGTAAGCTTGAGTATATATAAACCCAAAATAACAAAAAGAAATACATTGCCACACAGTATATATACATACACTAAATAATATGAATGATGATAACACAAACAAGTAGGCTGTTTATGTAACTTCTCTTCAAGTGACGAACACTGAATTTCTTTATTCTTACGCGGTCTTCCCTCTGAGTATCATGTCAGTGATTGTTCTGCTAAATCGCAAAGCCTACAGTGCAGTTAATGACATCGTGGACGTAGTTCAACTTTCTGTAATGTTGACTTACTTGTAATGACGGCGTCTTCAAAACCGGTTCTATGACCATTTAGCCATTAGTAGAATTGCTGTGCTAGTCCAACATATTGGAGGTCAAAGACATAATAATCGAAAATATAAATTACATCTGAATTTTTGCAGGTCTCACTGCGAACTATGTTAAGTTCCTTTTTTGTGACATTACTAATGGATGTTGCTGAATGCTATATGTATATGCAGCATTTAGAGTGTGTGTTACAACAAAGGTGAACATTCTGCAAAATCAACGAGACACTTTTTCTATATCAGCACATTTCTTACACTATTAGCTTTCATTGAAGCAATTATAGGGGCATGCAAAATATCTTGATTTTTTGTTTTTCAATTGAAATTTAATATGTTCAAACAACTACGAAGCTGGATTTCTCGACAATCTACAAATAGATGGTAAAAAATAAATTCATGGTGTACTCGTATTCTTATTTTATCATATTTTATTATATTAACCTGCTACTTGGGATCCTCATCGCTTTTTGTAAGCAGTTTAAATATCAAAAACATGAATTGAATAGAGAGCACTTCCTGCTCCACACGTGACAGTAGGTTTCATGCTGTTACAATAGGCTCCCTTAACAACGTTGTTAGAATGTTGATACATTCCTACAGCAGAATGTAAACACTAAAAAAGACAATTGTATATATTATCTAGTATTTTTTTTATTATAGTACTATTAGTATGACAGAGACAGTAGTTTGTATTCAATAACTTAAATGGGAATTGTAATAAATATATGATGGAGGGCACAATAGGAAAATTAAACACAATTTATAAACACACAAATGGTCGCAAACACAATGATGTTAAACCATAAAAAATGTATCAGCATGTTAAAATATGCTTGAAATGAGATGTGTCTGTTGATTTCCAGTAGATTAATAAGTATGATAATATATTACATGTTTTGTACAATAAAAACAAACGAAACGCAGGGGACTTCAACATGTTTATCGAAACTTTAACTAGACTTAATCGATACAAAAAAAAAAAGTTAAAGCTCCATCTAAGTTTACCAAATCGACATCCAATCGTAACGTATAGAGAGCAACGTGTGTCACTATTCGATTTTTTTGTTCATTAGATGACCCTAGGAACCTTAGGATTTCAATAAAAACACACAATATCGGACATTAAACAAAAAACACATAAACATTTACACCTTTTCCAAAATGTGAATACACATTTCCTGAGGCATCCTTTATGATAGTTAAAAAAAGAAACCCAAATAATCCATAACACAATGCGAAGGCATCAAAGACATTTTTAAAAAGATTATTAAAAAATAGATATCACAGCTTATCCTGATGTAACAATAAGGAGATTTAATCAGTTTGTTTCAAATTAATGTGATAAGGTTTATAGACCATAAAATCGAAACAAATGAATAGATACGGCATTATTTTTTGTAAAATAAAACTATGTTAATCATGCGTTCATGCATTTGCTATATCATTTATACTAAGCATGCTCAGGTTGAAAAACATTTTATAAAAATTTAAATCTCAAAAATTGTTTTTTTCTAGTTAAAAAGCTATCAAAAATTTTAAAAAAGGAAACAAAAAACTTCGAGAATTTGAGACTTTTGCTAGACATCTTGCCCAAAATGTGATGCATACTTCAGTCAAATCAGTTGGCGATTGTTGAGCAAAAGGGTCCAATCACTTGCTAACTCTTTATCTATCTTTTATAGCAAGCGCATAATTATTCTATCGTGTATTACTACTGAAATTAGCAAAATATTATTAACTTCCTTGTTGTCTTCAACCACGATTTCTCTAAATTGGACTTTAATCAACCCGACTATATGAAATAGTGTACACTATGTATTAATAATATTGAAATGACGTAGGCTATTTATGTTTTTTCCTTTCGCGAATTGAATATAAATGAAATAACGGAATATATTAAATAGTACCAAGGATAATAGGTGTCACGCTGTAATACTGTAATAAATTAAGATAAATTATAGAAAATACCGAAAATATGTTAAAGGCATGCTCTATTGCATAGATAACAACCTATTTAACTTAGTTTGATTTTCATTTCTAATGCAAAGGATAGAGTTCAAATCCGTTCAACAAAATGACTGAACATGATTTATAACAAACCTTAGTGATTTGGATACTACTGTAATGTCCCTTTGGTCGTAAAGCTCTTCATTTGTGTGGTTCGGTATATATCCAGCTTGTTTTGAAGAATTTGACTTTGGCCTTCAAACGCAAACAATTGAAAGTGTTATTTTCAATTTTTAGTCCCATTTACGTGTTACTGTTGTGATGTTTGTTATACAAATTTGGACAACTTTTTACAAATCAGGGTTCTAGCATAAGGTGTATAATGACCAATTCATAGTCAACATCATCCCTACATGCGATTGTTAGACATCAATCTTGTGATGACAAGTTGCAAGTGCTCTTTAAATCATATTTACCATGATCAAGATATACAATGTTACCAAACATTGGGACAAATAATAACGCTGGCTACAATATATATGTTTCTATTTATAGGGAAGAACACCGTTGGAATCTTTGGAAGAAACCTACAAAAAATCACATTGGTATATTGGGGAAACAAAGGTAAGACCACGATAATAATGAAATCAATATGTGTTCACGTGTTCACGTCAGTATTTAGTGAGTTTGATAATATTATATATCATAAGAAACGTAAACATATTAACATTTATCAAACTCCACGCATTACATCTAGATACATCTGTAATTAATATTTGGTATACGACTCTCGAATTGGTCCAAACCAAAGATTCTCTGATATGTTTAAACAAAAATGTGTCGGCCTTTTCAGATTTGGATCTGTTTATGGATCCAATATTGTTCATTATCGGTGTTTCACCGTCTGTATCACTCTGCTCAGGTCTACATTAAATTGTATACCACAGCTTTGTGACGTCAAATACGTTAACCCAGCCTAAATAACTTTGACCGTAACATATCACCGACATCATAATGAATTTATCGACGTTGCTTTGTTTGACACGAACTTATCAAGTCATCTTTCGGTTTACTGGTGAAACAAATGAAAAAGACTTGTTTCTATCAGGCAAAATGCACACATACAATCGGATAAATGGATTATCAGATTTTCATCATATTTATATTGTAAAATATCAGCTGCCTCACTCGACAAAAAAATTCATAGTGTGACTTTTACAATATTGATATGCAGACAACCTCATAATCGGTACTGTTCTTGTTCTTCAGTTCGATTTATAATGTTTATCTATATAACAACAGTTAAACATTTCGAATATATATTTAGATAGAAATAAGAAGATGTGGTATGAGTGCCAATGAGACAACTCTCCATCCAAGTCACAACGTATAAAAAGTAAACAATTATAGGTCAAAGTACGGCTTTTAGCACGGAGCATTGGCTCACATCGAACAGCAAGCTATAAAGGGCCCAAACATGACTAGTGTGAAACAATTCAAACAGGAAAACCAACGGTCTAATCTATATAAAAAAGGAGAAACGAGATAGTTTCTGCTGTGATCCAAAATATTCACAATTGAAGTGTATGACCAGAACTAAATATATCGCAGAAAACAATTAAACAATGGCTTATAAAATGAAAATGTGGATAGGTACATATGTAGATGCTTGCTGGTGGTCGTATATGCGATTTGTCGCTCGGGCAATTTTTGCACATATTACAACTTTGTAGATATAGCACCCGTAATGAAGGTTTGCACCCGCTGTTATCAAATTATTTGAGGAGTCTTTTTATTTTTTCTGCAAAGTTTACAGAAATCAGAAAAAAAGTTTATGTTATTGACCCCACATGCAGTTTTTAATTCACAACATTGAATTTAAAAAAATGTGTGCTTTTGTGATGAAAAAAAAGTTATGGAATCAACACTTATAAATCGATAAGAGACCAACAAAAACCTGACAAAAGAACAACTTAAAGCCAAACATCGGTGTATAAAACACTACATACAAAACTTAATACTGAACGCGACGAACCAATCAGAAGTCTATCTTCACCGGGAGGATAAGCATATCCTGCTCTTCATTTGGCAACCACCTTGTTGATCATGAATAAGTACAAGTTCGGTGCTAAGTCTCAATAGATGAAAAGAGGCCCGTATCATGTATCTGACAATTTGAATATCCGTGGTCGTCAGTGACACATATGTTTTCCATTACGATCAATCAACGCATGATGGCGCCGTTAAAAGTTTCAAAGGGATGACTTTAACTACACCAGTAAGAATCTTTAGTTTACTAGATCCATTATAAGCAGCAACCCTCTATCAGGGAAAAGCAAGGTCTCTGGAATATCATATCACATTGAAGCAATATACTCTATATGCAGCTTACAGTGCTGCATAGAAACTGACGACAGTTTAAAATAACAAAACTGAAATCATCTGCTTTGTCGTTAGGTTTTGGTTTAAAATGACCCTCTTTGTCAATTTCTAGATGAAAGTTTTTTCTTAAATATTTTCAATCATTTTTCCACTTTATGTTTCCTTTTTATTTAAGTATTCATTAGACATCATTCTCTGGGTGTGTTTATTTTTTTTTTTTTTTTTTTTTTTTTTAAGAATTCACATTAATATCATCAAGATAGCTTGTTTATTCAAAATCAATGCATTAGTGCCGAAGATAGCTCATAATTGACACTAACCCACATTGTGTATGACTTTTAGTATAGCAGATACATTAAAATGGCGGAAGAGTCAACTATATCTTGAAAAAAAAAGATACAATATATAAATATTTTGCATGCACACGTATACAAATTGCGGTTTTTATCCAACGCAATCATAGGCTTGAACGTTGTTTTCAATTCAGACTTGTTTATATATATATATTGTCTGTGAAAAAAATCAGCAACATAGTGAAACATTATACGCTATTTAGATATTTGGTGATGGACAATTGTAATGCATGTACATGTTGATTCTAGATGTTACTTAAGTTTTGCGGATGCTAGTAATATTACAGAGGGTAACGGGCATTACTCAAGATACGTAAATTGTGATTCTTGATATCAGCTTTTTCCCTTGTAAACTATATGTTTTGAATATAAAAATAGGTGCCCAGTTTTAACTTCAACTGTGTAAGATATGATCAGCGGAATATCGTTATGTATAATATAAAAACCAAATATCCATCATGTCGTGGCACATAAATCCGCAAAAAAGTGTTAAAATATTTTATGATAAATGTATTGATTCTTTAAGCGTAAATAAAAATATTTTTATTTAAAAGTGGGAAAAGGATAATGTTTTTTTTAGGGTGACTCAGCTTTACATTTAGCAGCAAGCCAATCGGATCATAGCGCTGTGAAACTTTTGATTAGTCTAGGTGCCAATGTCTCAGCTCGGAACAAAGAGGTGAGTCGTTTTAAACTTTATTTATAAAATGACATGTTCATTTAGATTTCATTTGATTGTTTGTTTTTTATTTTTCTACGTTTACGTGTATTAGTAGTATATGATTGTTTATTTAGAGGTTGTCTATGTGTTGGTTTTCATGTGAGAGTAAGTGTGTGGGTGTAGGATTTGGTGTTGATATATGTATGTGTGTGTGTGTTTTTGTATCTAAATCAATTTATTTGTTTTGGTTGAAAAATCAAAATTGGCATAACGTTTTCCTAAAGTTATATATTTTATGTTATTCCCTTTCTGTATACGTAGTCAATCATCTTCTAACTTAATGACGCGTACACACTTATTATGTTTTTGGATAACACTTTTTTCTTTCAGTGCTGACCATTTGCCCAATCAATTTCTTTGACTTCTTATATTAAAATGTGTCATGTTAAACAAATAAATAGATAACCTGCACATATCGGATGTGTCACAATTTAATGTATGATGTAAAACAGCATATAGATCCAAAATATGATATATGATGACAGAATATTTCACGCATGTTCAGTTATAATGACAGGGAAATATATCAGATACAAATAATTGGGTTAAAGTTTTTCAATGACAGTCTTAAGTAGTTGTTCACATGTACTTAATTTTTTATCAGTATTCTGCGGCCTAATCAGTTAGCTCATTTCAACACCATCACACGATGATAATGTTAAACTCCTCCACTATTGATATTAATTGTAAAATCTTCATATATATGTAGGAAATAAAAATAACCAATCAAATCAATCAATTGTGATTTTTAGTCAACATCCGTCCATTTTTGTGTAATATGGTCCACGAGTTTTGACAATACTCTTTAAAAGAAAATGAAAATGCAATATATGGTTATCGGATGCAACTGACATTCTATGATGAGATAAAAGATTTAATTGTATCTATTTTTACAATTTCCAATCCTAACTAGTGATAATCATTACTTTACTTACATTTATAAAAACGTATATTATGACTTTACACATTCCGTTGGTTCATGATAAGTGGAGATTTTATTTAGAATGCACATTATATGAAGGAATAGTGTAACAAGGTTAAGCAAGTAGTTGTATAGTGCAATCAATTTGAAAGCTTTTGACGCGATATCTGAAAGAACATTTTACAATTTCGTCTGGTTTTAATGCTGAGATATATCTGAATGACGTCATATTGAAGCTAAATTTATTTGAATTTTCTTCTTTCTGTATTGTTGTGCTGTTTTTTGTTGTGTTTAAAATCTGTTTATTTGATTTTTTATTTGGTTTTTTTTTCTACTTTTCTGCAATGAAATATATATGAAAAAACGAGCTGCTCTGTGTGAAAGTAACGTGTTAGCGCCTCACGCATTATATAGATGGGGAATGTATAGTTCTTTTTTTATTGTATCAACACAATCATGACAATGATAGCCTGCTATTGTTTTGTATTCAGAATGATAATTGTTCTTATATATTTTGTAAGTTTTATTTTAACAGGCGATAGTAATCAAATATGTGTGGTGTCGTTTCTTTTTGACATATAGAAGTCAGCTTCATAAAATATATTCTAGCACACCGTACAATATGTGAAAATGTAAACTGCATATAACAAGAGGAGTTTGTTAACCTTTAAAATTGTCTAATTTGTCTTTTATATTATGTTTTTTCTTATTGTGTACAAATAAAGGCAACAGTAGTATACCGCTGTCCAATAGTCATAATTTGATTAAGCAAAAACTAATCCGGGTAACAAACTAAAACCGAAGGAACACATCAACTATAAGAGTAAAACAACGGAACAACAGAAACACTGAACTACAACATACATAGAAATGGACTGTAGATAACAACTGCCATATTCCTGACTTGGTACAGGAGATTTTAAGAAAAAATCGTGGGATGAACCTGGTTTGATACAAACGGATGAACCTGGTTTGATACAAACACTGTAATACGAACATAAGAAAGACAATATAATACAAAAGGGTAACGCGATCGAATGGCTCGAAAGTACTTCTTTTAAATAAATCGCTACTTTAAACACTAGCATGTTATAAAAAAAACATTACCGTTGTTAAATGTTGAGTTACAGTAAATGTCTTCAGCATCCAAATGGTTAAAATTGCAAGATTAGAGTTTTACAAATTAACGTAATATTCAGTACAGCTACTGATAGATTTTGAGGTACCTGATTTTAAAATATATGTG